AAAAAAAAAAAAAAAGAAGGGTTTTTCAAAATTGTGTGGACTATTTTACCCCTTTCTTTCCCATTTTATTCCTCGGCCTTTTCGACTTCCTCGGTGTTGGGATTCCTTTGCCTAAACACATATTTATATGGCAAAAACCAACATTTAGCTTTTTATATTACAAAATTAATAAGTTTTAACCCTTTACCTTATAATATGATAGTTTTAACTCTTTATTTTACAATGTTGGTAAGTTTTAACCTCTTCATCTTACAAAGTTGATAGGTTTTAACTTTTTACCTTATATTATAATATTTTTAATCCATCACCGATACGAATTAAAGAAAATAACCCTCACTTAATATCAGGTTATAATGTTTTGTTAGTTCTGTTAGTTGAATGTTAACATCTGTTAATATTCCGTTATAAAAAATATGAAATTTAAATTCAATTTTATTTGTTAGTTTCATCAACGAAATGTTAACGGATATTAATAGTCAACTAATAGAATTAATAGTCAACTAATAGTCAGCTAATAAAACTGACAGTCAGTTAACAGAACTGACAATCAGCTAACAGAATTAATAGAATATTAAAACTTAAAGTTAAATAAGGGTTATTTTTTTTAATTCGTACAAATAAGGGGTTAAAAGTGTTATAATATAAGGTGAGAGGCTAAGACCTACCAATTTTGTAAGATGAAGGGCTAAAATCTATTAATTTTATAAGTTAAAGGGTTAAAAGTGTTATATTATAAGATTATAGGTTAAAACCTATCAATTTTGTAAGATAAGGGGTTAAATGTTGATTTTAACCTATATAAATAGGGAAATGCTTTTGTAACACATTTTTGTTTCATTTTCTTATATAATTTGACATGTTATTAAAATAATTGATTTTTTTAATTTATATGAGATCAATAATATTAAATATATTTATTCATTTAATAACATATAAAGATTATATAAAAAAGTGAGACAACCTGTATCATACAACATAAAGGTGCATATATAAAATCTAGTGCGAAATAAAAAGCACACCTGAAAATTTTACTTTCTTTGGGATCTAACTACTTAGGGATTAAGCTGCCAGAATAATCCGTTGTTGGGGAACAGGCCCAACATCAACAATTGAGCCCATAAGGCAAATCTAAAAGTACAAGAATTATAATCATGGTATATCCACATGACAAAAAGTAAGCGTATTAATAAAATAATGATATGTGATAATATTGTTATAAATAAGATTTATAAAAACTTTCAATTAAGATAATAACTCCACTATATTTTTTTAGTTTTTTTGTAATAACTCTTGTTGACCTTACTAATTGCTAAAGAAAAGGATTGATTTTGGACTAAAAAAGAAGGCGTAAAATAGTCCACACAATTGAAAAACCTTATATTATTATTTTTGTCATGGCTGTAAACGAACCCTCCCCTGAAACGGTGGGCACCGCGGCGCCTAGGAAAGCTATCTGGTTGGGCTTCCGTCCGAGTAGTCCAGTTTCCTTCTTTCGGGCCATCTTCCGTGCAGTCCAATTCACCAGTAACGAAATATTTTCTGTGGGACATGCCCAGCCCACAGCTACAGCCATTTATCTCTTGGACACATGAATTTAATCATGTACAATAAACTTTGTCGCTAAAACTAGTACTATCATGCATTCAGCCGAATAAGTATAAAGTTTTAAATTTGAGTTGTATGATAAATTATTGAATCAAAATGACAAATAAAAATTGAGAGAATTAACTCCACATATGATAGAAAAAAAAGGTACTAATATAAGAAAAGGCTATTTGAGGTCCAGAATTTTCCTTATATTTGAGCTATATATATAAGGTCAACACCCAAACGAGAGAGGAAGGATGCTGCAGAATGCCAAAAGCATGTATATAAGTATTGGCAACTATTATAGAATCCCAAATACAAAAAACGAAATTACATAATAATATATAAAGAGAGAGTCATGCTAATTAATTGATTAATGTTTTGGTATATATAGATTGCTCAGAGGACCCATCCCTGGATGAAGTTGGTCTCAGCAGCCATGGTAGTCCTGGGAACAGATGAACTTTCAGCCTGAACATAGTGATGATACCTGATGATGCCACAATAAAATCTTAGTCAGAATCTCCTTTTCTTCTCACAGTCATCATACTTTCACATTCTCTATTCATCAAATTTTGTCATTTAGAATATCTGTTAACACACAAACGTACCCAATTTGTAAGATGGGTTCAGGATCACAGTCCATAGGATTGGGGTGATTAGGATGCATGAGGAAGTTGCTACTTCCAGCTGTTGCACCTGAATTCCATAGACCTTGGATTGTTTTCAGACTTTGTCCTTCTGCTTCCAACTGGAATTAATGGAAGTATCAAGCTTGCAAACAATTAAGAAAACATATATATGTATATTGAGCTACTGCAGTCATAAGTATACGTATTTTATAGATCAATGTTGAAAACACAACCTTGATTTTCAGTTGCTTGTTAAGATCACCAAGTTGGCGCTCCTGAAAAAAAAAAAAAATTGTTAATGTTCGGCATGCCATACTTTCTATATTAAGCCTTACAGGATATACTCAAACAAGATCTTCCTTTACCAACTTTAAGTAGAAAAAGGAGGTTATAATATGCTTACCTTCCTGCGAAGGTCTTCCATTTGCTCAATCATAATCTGTGTCTGCAGTTAAGAATAAGTGGAAAGCATAACATCTCAAATATTTCATTCTTTTGAAGGACAATAAACCATCTAGGTAAAGTCTGTTTTCCCTTTTCACCAGAAAGATTGAATGAAAAAACACTAGAAGGTGAATAATAAAGTTCCTTATGCTATGTATGCAATTAAATCCATTAGTTGCAAGTAGAAGAATGAGGAAGATCTTTCAACAACTCCTCCTATTATTTCTATTTTGTTGTTGGTGTATTTTGCATGTACTGGATGTATTATGTTTCTTAATTACATGGGGTGGGGCTAATATATGCATATACCTTCCTTTGTCTGGCCGTTGCAAGAGCTCCTTCAAGCTGCTTCTCAAGATTTTGCAGCTCTTTCACACTCAGTGGACCAAGATCCTCCCCAAGCAAATGCCTGAACATGGAGCATATTTATAATTATTTATATTTTCAGAAGACAATTAACAATATCAATTAGTTTGTAGTGGCAAAAATTAATTAATGAAAATCTGGAAAATTCAACCAAAATTTAACATATATATATATATATATATAGCCACAATATGGTAACCAAACTGTTGATAGGACCATGAATGGTATAACCTTTGAGTGCGTTGCAGAGCTTCATATTTGGCCTTTAACTTATTCACTTCCTGATACCAGTTCTGCAATTAATCGATAATCAGAAACAATTTTCAGTGATAAAATAAATATTTTTAGTGATTAATAATTTCTAACAAGGCTTGATATATACAGTATAGAAAAAGGACAAGCATATCTACCTAGCTTCCAAAACTGAGTGTACTTATAATGAATGAAATATAAAGAATTAATATTGTTTAATTAAATCATTTTTTCAAAGGTTACCATATATAAAAAGGCTAAATTCTCAATATGAGCATGTTTTTCAAAGACACAAATTAATTAAGCTAAGTGCAGAATTCATACTGATTCAGACAAATACCTGTGTATCACGCTCAACGCTGTTGTCTTGAGGAGTGAAGCAGCAACGTTGGTATCGTTCAAGTGTTCTGCCGATTCTGCAGATTAAAAAACAGTGTTAATTTGAAGGGGCAAAATTTTTTGAAAGGATACAATGCTTGCAAATACAGTAAGGCTAATTAAAAGAAATTAGAGTCTTCTGGGAAAACTTAACGTAAAAGCAACACAAAACCGAAAAAGGAAAAAAAAAGTAGGATTAATTACTATAATATTTCCTACTTATGTTCAAAAACATCCTATTGGGAAAACCTTTTGTTGCAATTTCATATTTTGTTTGATTATACCTTCGTGACAAAAGTGGTTCCATATTTGTTGGAACTTGAACGCATTGAATATCAATTAATACCAAAAAAAAGTACTGTTCACCATGAACCATCTGAAACAAATCTGGGACATGCTAACCAAATAAACAAATATTTTGTACTAAATTCTGTGATACCCTAGATTCACAGCCCTCAGATTGCCAGTATCAAATTATAATGCAATATGGTGGCAAATTTCTCCAGTGAACATGATCAAGTGTACACCAGGATATATTTAGAGTATAATAAATTGGTGAGAAATACTATGTTTGAAGGTGCAAGGCATGTTTTGCTGGTGAGAGAAAAAGAAGCAAAAGTAGTGTCCAAAACAATAGATCTAATGAAATCAGACAAGGAAAAGGAAGGATTAGCCCCAAAGATAAAGTACTCCACCATCCAAAGGAATTAAGTCTTAACTATGAACAATTTATGATCTTTTGTTGATGGGAGAAGTGCCCTTGATTTGCCACCCACAGTCGATTTTATTCCGCAGAACAGCAAATTAGACAGGAAAAAGAAGAGAGATTCTCAAGAAACCAGAAGATCAAAAGAAGACATGAACACAAGCACTATCCTATGAACTTTGTCTAGGAGTGCAGGCTTTTATCTATAGAGAGAAAATATAAAATTAAAAAAAAAATAATGAAAACCCTAGATCTTGCACTGCGGTTTCAAGGAAAGTAAGTTGATTGAACTGTGTACAAAACCATACACTACATCATAATGGGGTGTTTCAGTTTCAGGTGAAAGAAAAAGAAACTCTATCGTACAATCAAAGGGAAAAAAAACCCAGAAATAGAATCCCAGAATGAGAGAGAAGGGTTTAGCAAAGGACGATGAAAACGTGTCGATTTTCCATTGGAAAGAAAGCAGGATTTTGATTTGAAAACATGTTATACTCAAAAGCCATGGAAAAATCATGTGAGAGCACAAGGAACAGAGTCTTATACAGGAAAGGGAGAGATGTCAGAGACACAGATGTTGGTGAAAGAGAACAATCTTTTGGCGAAAGGAAAAAACCAAGAATGACTTCAAACTGCTCATCATCAGTAGTTAATCCAGAAAAAACTTTGAAGAAAAAGGGAAAACCAACGCAGGATGATTTCAAATTGAATTTGCACCAAATATTTAGATCAAGTTGCAAACTTTTTAGTAAAAAAAAGAAACCCAAAAGTTAAAATTAGACCTCTATGATGAGTTCTCTATCCAAATCAACAAACAGTTTCTTGAGGAAAATTGTAGTAATTAGAAAACAATAATAATAGGACCATGCATATGCACATACCCGGCACTACCAAACTCGTAAAGCTTGCCTCGGCTAGAGAAAATGATAAGGGCAACCTCAGCATCACAGAGCACAGAAAGCTCATATGCTTTCTTGAGTAAACCATTCCTTCTCTTGGAGAAGGTGACCTGCCTGTTGATCTTGTTTTCTATCCTCTTCAGCTCCACTCTGCCCCTCCCCATTTCTCTCTTTCCTTTCTTATAATAGTATCAAAAACTATATGTTTATGTGATGAAATATATAATATTTATGGGGTGTTGTATGGAGATGATGATGAAGACATGAAAATGAAGGGTACAAGGGTGAGGGTTTTTCTTTTTCTTTTTTTTTTTGTCTGGGAGAAATGGAAGTTTGAGGCACACACACAGACAGCAGAGAAGAGGTAGAGGAGGCACACTGGATCTTCTCTTACAATAAAATGGAAACCCAGTATTTCTTCCTTCCTCTTATTGTCCTTTCCATTTTAATTTTAGCAATGCTTTGCTGTATCTCTATCTCTATCTCCTCCTTCATTTGGGTGCAGAGTCGCCCTCAGTTTTACCTGGTAAGGAATTTTTACTTCACGCGCCCAGGACCGTGTGACCACACGCACATCTTCCAAAATTTCTGTAAATTTATAAACATTTATTTATAAAGAAAATAATTTTTTTTTTCATTTCTTACTAGTGGTAATATTGAGTTGATAGTAATTATGATATATTAATAAGAAAATAATTGATATCCATTTTGTTTGGTATAATTTTATTTTATTTTTTAAGATTTCTTTTTGATAAGAATTATTTAACGGTAGTAATAAGGTAAAACTTATATATATTTGGCAATAGAAAAATGAGCTTAATTAACCTTATAGTGCATATAACAAAGCATGTAGATGTTAATGGGTTTAGAAACTATTTTGATGCATTATAAAGGCATAATAGCAATTAAGAACAATCACACGGTTTGGGAAATTTTCGAGAAAAATTGTCATTTATAATAGTAGAAACCATAACAAAATCTATGAATCTCTCTAATAAGTTGATTTAAGGTTTTGTCGGTGTGGTTGTGATACTACTATTAAATATTCATAGACTAAAATTTGAAATTTTGTATATTAAAAAAAAAAAAAGGGGAAAATATTCACCAATGTGCGTCTACATTGCTAATAGTCTGTTTTGTAGTGGCTAGACTGAAAATATGAAAGCATTTGGGGCATCAAGGGTATATATTTGGAGCTATGGACTATGGTAGAGATATTGGGTACAAAAGTTGTCTTCATTGAGACCTAGTTAATTTGCCGACTCGTGTCCCCACTAGGCCACATCAAGCCACACACACTTCACAACCTCCATCACCATGTGACAATTTCTCTTCACCTTTTTCATTGAAACGACAACACCCTTTAACCTTTTTACTCCATTGAAATGAAATCTGAAGAGGAACTGTTCCTCAATTCATGAACCATGAAGAATCAATTCTCATGTCCACATTGTATGGTTTAAAAACCCTAAGCTTAAGTCAAAACCACATTTAATATATATGGAAATTAAGATAATGTGAATCTAAAACAATCTACTTAATTGGTGCAAATATATTCCTTACTATATGGCCAACATACTTGACGTTTTGATGCATTTAAGGTTAGACAAGGTTTGAATTATGGGTGTCCCCACTTGTCCCAATTTAGCATTAGCATTCATGCTTGTTTCTATTCTTGAAAGCTCTCTCTCCTCAAGTCACCATCTCCGTCCATTTTCTTGCTTCAATTAATCATTTTTCTTCATTAAATTTAATCTAAACAAAATATATTAAACAGGAGAATTACCCCATCCATATATAGATGTAACTAAGGACTACTTGTGCTGATAAGATTAAAAAGAAACTAAAGAACAAAAGAGAAGAACAAGAGAGAGAGAAAGAGAGTTATGCTCTGTCTCATATATTCATGGCTAAGCCATGTATTTTACGTATGCTATATATATTTTGGTACTAACCTTTGGTATTAAAAAATTATATTGGATCTCGATCAATCCGAAACTGACCTGCAGAGAAAAATTAATTATTTAAATAACATATAAAATTATACAAAAATATAATAAAAAAATTTTTATAAATAATTTTTTTTTTCATTTCTTACTAGTGGTAATATTGAGTTGATA